CGTGAGCCTCATCTTCCTATTGACAGCTTGCTTAGTAACCTAGAGAATGACTGGTCAGAGGATTGCTTGCAGCAAGAAGCACGATTAATGAAGAGAGCATATGAAGTTGCGTCATCTAGATTGAAGGCGGCAGCTGATCGAGAACGAGAAGAGAAGCGACATAGTGTTAAGCTTCCTCCAGATGCTTTGAAAATTTGTGACTGTGTATTACTTCGAAGAGAAGCATTCAAAACACGTCATAAACTTGTTATAAGTTTCATGATTGTTCTTATATAATTGAGTCAATCAATTCATCTGATGATGTGTTTGGTATTCGCCCGGTTAAAGGTGGTGTGCTTCAGCATGTTAACAGGCGAAAACTTATTATAAATCCAGAAGATAAGATTGAACCGGAAGGTCAGCCGCTAATGAATGTTTTGCCATTTGAATTTAATGGAGATATTAGTTCATCAGATGAGAGTGAATCGAGTGAAAGTGAATCAAATGAAGATAACGTGAGATTGATATATAGGGATAGTAATGGTGAAGTGATAAATACTGAAAGTGCTCCCTTGAGAAGGTCGACCCGTTCTACTAAAGTCATTATTAGAAATCCATATAGATTACCTGCTTCAGCTCATGATGGGAGATAAGATTAACGTTTGTCTTTTTATTGTACTCATACTTTTGGGGACAAAAGTGCATTTGAGCGGGGAATATGTACTGATGCGATTTGTTCGTGTGATGGGATTGCGCTGCAGCTATTTTTTTGCGTTATTGTTGTTGTATTTGCATATTCATCTCGTGCATGTTCATGCAAATACACAGCTGTTCCGCGGTATATATGCTTTTGTGGGCTCTTGCAACGGGTTTTCGTTTGTTCCGTTGCAAGCCCTGCACACATTATTTTGGCAGTATGCAGTTCGTTATTTTGGCAATATGCAGTTCTGAAGTCCATGATGTAAGTGTATATTATAATCTGTAGTTAATTTAATTTAATGATATGTGTGCATTGATACAATAAGTTATAAGTATGTTATATTATAATATGTAGTTAATTCATGTCCGTATTCGACTAATGCCGGTATTGAATGCATTGTTAATATTATTGTGCTGTACATTTACATGAGTTGTTAATATTATTGTTATTGTACATTCCGCTAATGGGGAGTGATTGTTATTGTTTTATTCTTGTTTAATGATTAATATACCGTTAGCTTGGTGGTCAGTAATAGTCTGAAGTTATGGAAGTTTTGGTGGCCAGTAATAGTCTGAAGTTACAGAAGTTTTGGTGGCCATTATTAGTCTGTAGTTAACAGAAGTTTGTTGGAGCGTCCAATAGTCTGTAGTTTCAGAAGTAGTGTTGGAGCGTGCAATGGTCGTAGTTTACAGAATGGTGCATTAAGCAGACTCTAGCTTGAGGTAAATACAAGTTATTACACCATTTTAATAGGCTATGCTATTTAATCATCAAATTGTTTCTGATGTTGGTGTGTTGCCAGGTTATATCAGAATTGTTGTTAAATTGTATAACTTGCCTAATTTTGTTAACCTTGATATACTATATAATTATAACGCATTATATAATTCTTGTTTGGAATATATATTTTGCAGGGTTTTGTTTCGTATAGTTCGCTTTGGTTTATGTGCAAATAAAATGTTGAATGCTACACAAAGATGTCTTGTGATTGATTACCAACCGAGTCTAAACTACTCAAGGAAGATTGTACCTCCCTTTTCAATATCTTTCTAAAGTCGAACCAAGACATAAATATCTTTGATTTTGAAGGGAAATAACAGATTTTAAGTTTGAGTAGGAATGTTTAATGTACTGTACATTTACTAATTCATTCTTTGCCTAAAGACACAGACAGCAAATTCACCTTAATTAAGACAATTAAAGAAAAATAGCATTTTGCATATTTTAATTGACAGTAGACACTTTCCCCCTGCCATTGATTTTTTTTTATCTTGACCTGTATAGTGTGAGTTTTTAATCACATTTTTTAATGCCAAGGACTATGAAATGCATGTTTTTCTTAGCTCTGTTTTAAAGATTTTTTTCTATATCTTTCAGCAATTGTGGAATTCCGAAAAAAAGTTAATACCAACAAGCTATTGTGATTCAATATTTCGAACTTCATACTATCTGAAATTTTAGTAAGATTCTTCATTTGCCTTGTCATCTGACAAGAAAATGCATGGTTATGGAGAAATGCTGCTTCAATACACAAAGAATGTTGGTTTATATGCACGCCTGATGCAAACGATTCTTTAATATGGTTCTTTATTATAAACTCTAGTGATGCTATAATATAATAGGCTTATAATTATAGACAAAAATGCTGATATAAACAGGACTGTAAGCGTAAAAGTAAAGACTTAGCCAAATGATATGCGAAGGGGTATGTAAATACCTACCCCATGAAGTACAGCTGATGTTTTTTGATTAAAGAAATTATGGTTTGTATATCTTAAACTCAGTGTATTTTGTAAGTCTACAGGAGTCAATTAAAGCCATTGTTATTTTACAACAAGGAGCTGGGACTAATTGAAGACCAAATGGAACTGGTACCAGCAGCTGAAGACAAGTTGAAACTGGGACCAGCTAAGACCAGTTGGAACTTGGACCAGTTGTGAAAATCACAATACCCAACAAATTTTAGTGGCCCCCTTACATTTCAATTCCTATTCAGCCCTGAAAAAAACCAGATATAACCCAGCATAGGCCCGTAAATTATTTTGGACAAAACCCACATGGGTCCCAAATAAAACCATAATGGAAACCTAAGGGACCCAAATATATCCTTTAGCGGGCCCATAAACTTTATGGGACCCTTATGAATTTTGGGTGCACAGGCAGCTCTTTCCCGTATAGGCCAATTTATAGTGGCCCCTTACATTTCAATCCTCAAAAAACCCAGATATAGCCCATAAAGATCCCATGAATTTGGTAAAACCCATATGGGTCCCAAATGAAACCATAATGCAAATCTAAGGGGCCCAAATATATTCTTTAAAGGGCCCATAAAATAATTTGGACTAACTTTATGGGACCCATATTGATTTAGGGTGCACAGGCAGATCTCCATATGGGCCAATTGATAGTGTCCCCATACATTTCAACCCCAATTCAACCCTTAAAAACCCAGATAGAGCCCGCAATGGGCCCATGAATTAACTTAGACAAACCAATATGGGTCCCAAATGAAACCATAATTCCAACAGTAAGTGACCCAAATATATCCTTTAAAGGGCCCGCATTTGCATTTGGGCCAAACGTTATGGGACCTTCATGGATTTAGGGTGCACAGGCAGCTTGATCCCATATAGGCCAAACTGTAGTGGGCCCACATTTTGGCCAATGCATTTCCCATATGGGGCCCATGTTGTATTTTCCCACTATTCCTCCAGGAAGTTGCCACCACTACAGCAAAGCATGTGTTCCCAAATTATGATGACCCGGCATTACTAATTAAATGAGTCATCAATCCCTGTTTCCTGTCCCCATGTATATTTGTACCTGTGTTTAGTTAGGAAATCAGTTCGAGTATTGATTTTAGAGACAATTACATCAGTCGTGTACTCTTCAACATTGTTTTTATAATAAAGTATATTTGCAACTATTTTACTTTTGTCTCCTGCTACCTTATTACATTGCCTTGGCTCTCGACACGTTAACCATACATACATATATATTATATACATATATATTATATATATATATATATATATATTATATATATTATGTATATTATATATATTATATATATATTGTATATATTATATATTATATATATATTGTATATATTATATATATTGTATATTATATATATATTGTATATATTGTATATTATATATATATTGTATATATTGTATATTATATATGTATATTGTATATATTATATATATTATATATGTATATTGTATATATTATATATATTATATATGTATATTGTATATATTATATATATTATATATGTATATTGTATATATTATATATATTATATATGTATATTGTATATATTATATATATATATAATTTTTTTTACATCAACATTATTATCTGGTTATTAAGCATCTATCTGTCTTACCAATTTAATCACTATTACAACTTTGACATTTAAACTGATGCACAGCAGAGCTCCTATATTCCTTAGGGGTTTGATCTTTAGTAGATATAAAATGAGAGACATTTTTGTACTGCCATAAAGTTATGGTGTTTCTTTTCTTTGTTTAAGCATGTACGTAAAATGAATTCACCTGCCTTTCCTAGATCTAACCTAGATCATAATCAAGCAATCATCAGTAGGCCTATGTATACATTTAGGTTCATTTTATTTATTGAGTACATGGTTAACAACTTTTAAAGGGTACTCATTCCATTTTCTAATGTTACAAATTTCTGCTTGAAGTTTTAGGGAGTATACAATTTGTGTGCTCTTAAAACTAAACTACGAATCCAAGAAATCTTAAGGTTCCATGGGACAAAGCTACCATAATGGATATATTGACCTGTATGTGTGTATTTTTACGATATATACTCATGCTTCCTACGCTGTTGTCGAGTTGTAAATCCAAAAAATAGACTATATCACTGTTTTCAAATAATTCAAAGGTAAAATTAATCTGTTTATGAAAAGCGTTAAAGTGGCGTAGAATGTGATGAAAATTATTAGGTTTAGCTAGCACATGTCGTCAACCAAACGAGTATAAAACTAAATAATACCTGATTCTATAAATCTAGAAACAATAGACTCTTTTAGATCAGTCACTAATATATTGGCTAAAACTGGTCCAATGGTGAGCCCATTGAAACGCTGTCAGTTTGTTTATAGAATTCATTATTACACGTAAATACAGTTTTAGTAAAGCAACGTATTTTTCTTAAGATTAGTAGATACCAATTTCTTATAGTAAAGCCTATCAAGAATTATATTAATTACGGTACCTTAGTAAGGGGAACATTTTGTAAACAGAGATGTAACATCATAAGATGCAAAACGGTAACCTAATTTATATGAATGGTCTGGTATACCTTTAATGCGGTCAGCAGCATCAAACGAATCTTTAAGAACAACATCTTTAACAGAAAGAGGCCTTAATAAGTTAGCTACTGAGTAATAAAAAGTGCCGGTTGTGTCAATAATAGGTCTTAGAGGTGGAATATTATAAAATCCTTGTGTAATTTAGGTAGACCAATGGCTCCGACAGGCATGGTTGATACTGGACGAATTTCTTTGTATTCAGCATAAGTTAGTTCTTTTCTACAGTATTAAACAGTGTTCGAAGGTAGGCTTGTAAGGAGTTAAGCTGTGACAATTTCTTAAATTTAGTTGGATCAGAGAACAAGCTGGTCATAGATGTAATATAATCAGATTTCTTCATTATCGCAACACCATTCCTTTATCAAGTCTAAGAATTGCATATTTAATGCGTATGATTTTTAAAGTATTAATACGTTTAACATCACAATTTAATTCGCGGTTATCAAAATCAAGAAAGTTACATGTCACGTTTAATAAATGATTTAGGTGAGCATCAGCATAATGAAGTATATTTTTATATGTTTGATATAAAACATATATTTACGTTTTATATAAACTCAAGCCAAAAGACCACCTGAAACTTATGCCCAGAACCCCTTTGCCTTCGGTACCGTATATGCTAGCTATGGGCCTGCAATTCGTTATATGCATGTAATGAACATATATACTCCTGTTAACAATATATGTGTTTCGTAGTTATATTATGGGGGTATAAAATTAGTTATACAGAATCTATATGGCCCAAATAATATTTTGGCAAAGTACTTGGAAATGAAAAGCTTATATTCCCTTTATATATTTCGACAAAAATTTAAAACACAGCCACCAACCACAAGCTCAGAATACGTAGTACTATATAATAGACGTCTAATGCTATCAGCATACTTAGGAACATGCGTCTGTTTGTGATACTTTACAGAAGGTCATGTATGTACTATATAAAATAAACAAAATACAAAACATGGAGCATTATCCAGTCGCCGGATACGTATCGTAGATATTGTTACTTATGGCTGAGCACAAGCGCAGTATCCCGCAACTAGAGAAAAAAAGAGAAATGTAATGTCTTCATAAAAAAACAAAATTAGCATACACAGCACTTCATTGAATACTAAATTGTATATGTGAAAAGTATGCGATGCGATAAACATACATCGATTATGGTTTTTAAACACGACATACAAGTTTAATCATACTTAAGACAAAAAGATGAAAACGATGTTGAAATACAATATTCTTTAGATTATCACTATATATTCTTGTGTTCGAAATATACGATGAGTTAGTTATAAATGAGAGCATATCATATCATATCATCATATCCAAATCATTTTAACACCAATTTTTTCAGTGACAGTTAAATCTCCACTCAATCCTACTGTAGTTCTCATTATGAGAAATGACTCTGAAATTAACCTACCTCTTTTACAAGTTGGCCCAACAAATCCATAAGGGCATTGGCAAGTGCTTGTGGAATCGTTATTAGTAAGACATGTTCCGCCGTTCAAGCATTCACATGCTGGAGTGTCTGAAAGAATACCGGCGTATCACATTGATCTTTGTTTTAACTAAAGTGCTGTACAAGAATCTGATATATTAAATTATAGGATTAAAATAATAATGATGATGATGACCATCACCATCAACTTAAATGTTACCAAAAGCGCAATGTTGCCATAGTAAGTCATAACCTGCAGCGAGACGAGTTCATTTGCCCGCGGCAAGAAAATGTTGGGGACATTATTATGCCAGTATTTTCACTCAAGAAGTGACCGAAAGGATGGCCATTCGATTATTCTGTGTAAAAACCAAGGATAACCCACGAAAGTCTTGGACTTATTTCCAGTGTGGTCTTTTTTATGGTGAGTGCGCATTACACCTGGAGACAATCCCCTACTCTTTTCCGAAGAGTTTATTGCGTTCTTTAACGTGCGACATGGGCCATAATGCACATGGGACAAATAGCTTAAACATCTCATTCGAAATAAGGTGCGCTTTTGTAATTTGCATTTTAGCCCTACAGCTGAAATACAAGGAGAGCAACCACCTGCTTATCCGACTGAGCTAAACTGTTAACCATTTTCATGCCCCTTTTCAGTGTATTAATTGAAACCTCATTGAATCTCTGCCAATATAAGCAATCCGTCAGTCAGATAATCAATCAATTATTCAATCAATTAATAAATGAATAATAAAATAAATTAATAAATGAACTAACTAATTATTCATTCGTTTTACCTACAAGGCACCGACATTAAAAATTCATAGACGGACAAAAAATTTACTTTGCCGTAGGCCTGATTGTAGTACTACAACCTCTATAAGTGCACGATCTGTGACTTTGGGCTCACAGGCGTTTCGCCTCTCGAGGTGTTCTGAAATTTACCAACTACCAGTGATATTTGGCTGATTTTACATCAACATGAGGCAAAGGGGCACTTGAAACGCAGTGGAAGTTTTTAGTTAAATTATACTTGCAAATTAATATATCTATTCAACAATACATTATTATAGTAAAAATATATTAACGATAGTGCAAGTAGTCTGTCTCTTATACACATCTAGATGTGTATAAGAGACAGGGTCTTTTTGATGGTGAGTGCGCATTACACCTGGAGACAATCCCCTACTCTTTTCCGAAGAGTTTATTGCGTTCTTTAACGTGCGACATGGGCCATAATGCACATGGGACAAATAGCTTAAACATCTCATTCGAAATAAGGTGCGCTTTTGTAATTTGCATTTTAGCCCTCCAACTGAAATACAAGGAGAGCAACCACCTGCTTATCCGACTGAGCTAAACTGTTAACCATTTTCATGCCCCTTTTCAGTGTATTGATTGAAACCTCATTGAATCTCTGCCAATATAAGCAAACCGTCAGTCAGATAATCAGTCAATTATTCAATCAATTAATAAATGAATAATAAAATAAATTAATAAATGAACTAACTAATTATTCATTCGTTTTACCTACAAGGCACCGACATTAAAAATTCATAGACAGACAAAAAATTTACTTTGCCGTAGGCCTGATTGTAGTACTACAACCTCTATAAGTGCAAGATCTGTGACGTTGGGCTCACAAGCGTTTCGCCTCTCGAGGTGTTCTGAAATTTACCAACTACCAGTGATATTTGGCTGATTTTACATCAACATGAGGCAAAGGGGCACTTGAAACGCAGTAGAAGTTTTTAGTTAAATTATACTTGCAAATTAATATATCTATTCAACAATAAATTATTATAGTCATCAATATATTGTCATTTAATATAAATATGATCATTATTTGAATTTTGAATTTTGGTGGTGATGGTTATAGTAATGGTGATGATTGTGATGGATCTATGTGGCGCTATAATCGTATTATTTGTGATACTTGCATATAGTGAATGTCCAAAAAAATCGGTCTCGTATTATTGACGATTCAGAGCCACATGCTTCCAATCCTGTAGCCACTCCAGCATCCATCAAAATGTAATAGCTTTGTTTTTCCAGGAGTTGGAGGCCATTTGTCATAAATGTAATAGAACGATTTGTCATTGGCTGATATACAACGTCAGGACTGGAAGAAACGTCTATTGAATACACAAGACTGTCATTGCCATCGTAGAAACGAATAAATGTTGGTTTTGTGGGTCGTACAAACTGTAAAAATTAAACAATTGTATCTTAAAAAATATATTAACGATAGTGCAAGTAGTAGAATTAGAAGAGGCATGGTGACGTGAACGACTATGGCGTAGATTTGGGCACAATGAAAGGGATAAAAACATATTGCCAAGGGTTGATCCAGATTTTGTATTAGGCCTATATTGTTCTTATATAAATATGGCATTAGTATGTATTGAAATTACAAAATATTGGCACGTGCGTAATTGAAAATCAAAGATTAGATTAGTGCTTATGCACGGATTTCGTTATGTGTTGGCCATAAGCTTCTGCTTCTAAAAGCGTTTGAACAACGATGGAAATATTTTTATTTACAAGAGTGGAGAGCACACTGTTGTTTTTATCTGAACATTAAACAATTTATTCACTGAACACTGAAGATTATATACGATCGGTAACAATATTTCAGGCATAGGAGATGCATTACAATGGAATATAAGAGGCAATCATGAGTCATTGCAACTGTGTCGTGTGTGACTGCCAGGAACCAGAAGACAAGAGACACTTTTGTTTCATTTGCTCCACTTATATGACGCAAAGGGAATCTTTGTTAGTAGATATTACTGGAGAAATCGTACACTATTATAAATTTTACGATTTGATAACCAGTGGACATTCCCAATTAAAACCTGGCTAAAAGAGTGGGTTTGCATGTATGCTCCAAGTAAAATAAAATGCAAAAACAATGAAAAAAACGGTGTACAATCATTGAAAGTTGACTTGCGGAACACAAATTTATTAAGCTATAACAAAATCAAACGGATATTTCGATAGCTCCTGCTATCTTCATCAACGTTAAAGAAGATAGATAGCAGGAGCTATCGAAATATCCGTTTGATTTTGTTATAGCTTAATAAATTTGTGTTCCGCAAGTCAACTTTCAATGATTGTAAACCGTTTTTTCATTGTTTTTGCTGTATAAGAGACAGTGTATGCACTATATAAAATAAACAAAATACAAAACATGGAGCATTATCCAGTCGCCGGATACGTATCGTAGATATTGTTACTTATGGCTGAGCACAAGCGCAGTATCCCGCAACTAGAGAAAAAAAGAGAAATGTAATGTCTTCATAAAAAAACAAAATTAGCATACACAGCACTTCATTGAATACTAAATTGTATATGTGAAAAGTATGCGATGCGATAAACATACATCGATTATGGTTTTTAAACACGACATACAAGTTTAATCATACTTAAGACAAAAAGATGAAAACGATGTTGAAATACAATATTCTTTAGATTATCACTATATATTCTTGTGTTCGAAATATACGATGAGTTATTTATAAATGAGAGCATATCATATCATATCATCATATCCAAATCATTTTAACACCAATTTTTTCAGTGACAGTTAAATCTCCACTCAATCCTACTATAGTTCTCATTATGAGAAATGACTCTGAAATTAACCTACCTCTTTTACAAGTTGGCCCAACAAATCCATAAGGGCATTGGCAAGTGCTTGTGGAATCGTTATTAGTAAGACATGTTCCGCCGTTCAAGCATTCACATGCTGGAGTGTCTGAAAGAATACCGGCGTATCACATTGATCTTTGTTTTAACTAAAGTGCTGTACAAGAATCTGATATATTAAATTATAGGATTAAAATAATAATGATGATGATGACCTTCACCATCAACTTAAATGTTACCAAAAGCGCAATGTTGCCATAGTAAGTCATAACCTGCAGCGAGACGAGTTCATTTGCCCGCGGCAAGAAAATGTTGGGGACATTATTATGCCAGTATTTTCACTCAAGAAGTGACCGAAAGGATGGCCATTCGATTATTCTGTGTAAAAACCAAGGATAACCCACGAAAGTCTTGGACTTATTTCCAGTGTGGTCTTTTTGATGGTGAGTGCGCATT